GGATCACTCTGGCTGCCCCACCCTCTACCTTCCCGGCTCCACCCCACCCTTGCACCCCCCCTCGGTCCTCCTGGACCATCCTTTCCCCCTCATGCCTCTCTGGTTCCACCCTCGGTCCTCAGGTGGCCTTGATATCCTGCTGCTTTACCTCCCTCCCCTGTTATACCCTCTATTCTGGTGCTCCCTGGCCTCCTTCTCACTCTGTGTTCCTTGCAGAAGCCCTCGCTACAGGTGCTTCCAAGCAACGTCTCTGCCGTAGGAGAACTACTCCCCTCTGCCTGCTTCCCTAGCTGCTTTTGCTGCCCCTTGCTTGCTTGCCCCACTATACTGCACATCGGAGGGTTACAAGCCTCCATGTCGAAAATCCTGAACTTGCTACCGTACACTAAATCTCGCCCTAGTCTTTACGCTCAGTTGTGACACTAGTCCAAACTTTAGCTGGAAACATTGCTACTGGTATAGAAGAGGACAATACCAGTCCCCACAATACAAACTACCAATAGGTTATAAGAATCATAATGCATCACTGCACACGTTCGCCATAAGAAGGAAAAGGAAGTGTACACTATCCTATCACCTATACAATATGCCAGCCTCCATAGTACACTCTTCAATCACCCTTCTATACTTCGCACCCTTTGATTTCCTCATGCCAACATTTAGATGTAGTGCTGGCCACTTTCGGATAAAACAAGCACGTACCGGTATATATACTTTGCGCACCCCAAACTCCCAACATTCACCTCCTCGGCAACTCGTTGATTTCAAGAACCTACCTATATGCCTTTTTAACATGTCGACATTCAACCCCATGCCGCCTCGGCACCTCGAACCTCACCAAGCCCGGCACGCCACCGACCCTATCTCCAACCCGTGCACTCACCAGCGAAAACCCTTGCTTAGGCCGTGGATACGCACGATCTCCCGTGCGGTGGCCTTCACGTCGCTGCCGTGTTAACACACCTCCGAATCCTATGCATCAATGTGAACGGAATCAACGAGACTCGCAAAATGGATGAGCTTAAATCTTGGCTCTCACGCCTCCCTGCCGCCACTGACTTGGTCATCCTCATTGACACTCGACTCATCCTCAGAATTCCCAACCTCGACTTCAATTTTCAACCACATGCCTCCGCTCACGCCCCTGCGCTGCTCTCGACTGTCAGCGCTTCCGGAAGGCCCACTCTTGTAGACGGCAGGCTTATCACGGTACATCTAAACTATCTCCGTGAGCAAGTCCGCCTTATTGCCCTATATGCGCCCACACAGTTTTACGAGCGTCGAATGTGGCAGTCCACCACGCTCGTTTCGGCACTAGAAACCCCCACCGCTGCCTCCCCGACCATGCTCGTCGGAGACTTCAACTCGGTCACCCTTCCTATTGACAGGAACCGATGCCTCAAAGATTACGAATGCCGTGAAGGAGCTTTCTTCGCCAAACTCATGGACTATCACGCGTTGGTCGATACATTCCGAGAACTCTTCCCCACACCTGCCAACGTCATCTCCTTCTATGGCAGGCAACGCCTTAACTCAGCGTCCCCGCCCACATCTTCTCGTCTCGACAGAATTTACATCTCCCGAGCCTTCTTGCCCCGTCTCACTACTAGCCCGTACATTCAAACCCGCACGGCCATTACAGATCACCTGTATACCCCTCTATGCTCGCTGTGTTTCACCAACCCCACTGTCGCCCCCCGGCCCTGGCGACTCCGCCAACATTTACTCATGCGACCCCATGCCACACAAATTGTCGATGCCGCCCTTGCAGCATTCCCCTCCTCCCCTTCCCCGGAATCCTCGGACAGATGGAAGCTCGACCTCACCCTTAGCTTTGAAAGATTCTTCAACCTGGAACGTGTCGACGGCACGATCACGCACCTAGAGCGCACCATTGGCTCTCTACAATCACAAGCTGCGTATACGCCCTTGGACCAGAACGAATCTTCTCGCCTCAGCCAAGCAAGGCTCCACTTGGCCAGATACGAAGCCTCGTAAGCCTCCGAGATTGCGCTCAAGGCCAAATTGAAAGTGGAAGGGCACAGAGAAATGGGTGTCTCTTCCCTCCTCTCCGGACTCAACTCGCGAATCAAAGGCTCGATCATCAACTCCTTGACCCTACCTAACGGGCAGACGACCTCGGACCTGTCCACCATGACCAGCGTGTGCTCTAGTTTCTTCCGGACACTCTATAGCGGGAGCAACCTCGTCACCCCTAATCCATCTTTCTGGCAACATATCCCCTCCTCATCCATCCCAAACCCCTTACTCCTCCGGCTTAGTGCTCCCCTTTCCCTATCCGAAATCGGAAAAGCACTCCTCTCTCTTTCACGAGGGAAAACCCCAGGCCCAGACGGTCTCCCCTGGGAGCTTTTTCGACAATTCTCCCCGTGTTTCGCACCGGCCTTCCACTCCCTACTCTCACCATCACAGCCACTCTCCTGCCTCCCTCCGTCCATGTTGACCAGACGAACGGTCCTTATCCCCAAAAGGGGGGACTCTTCGCTAGTGGAAAATCTCCCCCCCATTACCCTAATGAACGCTGATTACAAGGTACTCGCGCTGTGCCTTGCTAACCGCCTTCAGCTCGTCCTCCCCCACCTCATCCACCCATCCCAAACTGCTTTACAGGAAAATCGGTGACACAATCAACGATACCTTGGACATCATGGACTGGGCGGCTTACTCCACGTCCCCCCTTCTTGCTCTCAATGTGGACTTTCGCAGAGCATATGACCTCGTTGACAGGCCTTTCCTCCTCCAAGCCTTATCAGCCCTGGGACTCCCCACATCCTTCATCCACTGGGTCCGATTAATGCACTCCGACACGTATACACGTATCTCGGTTAATAACATGCTCGGCCCCACCTTCTCCGTCTGCACTGGTGTCCGTCAGGGATGCCCACTGGCTCCCCTACTCTTCGTTTGCGTCATGGAGATCTTTCACCGCTACACGTCCCTCTTCCTTCCCGGTTTCGCCTTGTCCCCCGCACAGCGCCATCTTATGGCGTGCAACGCACACTCTTCCTCACCTCAGATACAGAGCTCGGACTTGCTGTAGTGCTGCTCGGCGTCTTTGGATCGATCTCCGGAGAGGTCCCCAACTGGAGCAAGTGCTCCACAATTCCATTCAATATTCCCCCTACTGAAATCGTGCACGCCAGGAGCATACCCATCCGAGCTCCCAATGAGGCAGAACGCATGCTCGGAATCTACGTTGAGCGTCTACACCCAGGCTCCACCACCTGGAATAAGGCTCTTGCCCGCATACAAAGCACCGCCAAGTTTCTAGCAGCATTACACGCCACAGTCACGTGCCGCAAATCCCTCTCCTCGATCTTTCTGAACTCTGTCATTTCCTTTCCCGGACGCTTTCAACCTGCCCCTCCAGACACAATCAAACACCTAGATGTGTCAGTTGGGAACTTCCTTTCATCCTCGAAACACAAACAAGATGGCCTCGCACAACGCCTCATTTCCACGGCCCTACTGTACAATTCCCTCCAAGACAGCGGGGTCGGGGCGATCGCCCCGTCTATACAAGTCAAAGCCCTTGCTATTCAGCGCGCCCTGCGCAGATTCGGACCAACCCCCACTGAGGAAGTAGCACGTACCCTAACCCCGTTCCCCTTCGGGCTACACGGACTACTCTCCCATAAAGCAATCCTCGAACGAGATTATCTCCCCACATTCATCCCCCCTCGGGCGCAGGACGAACTTAAAGCCCTCCTCTCTCTCCCCCTAGTCATTCATGGCCCCCCCTTACGCATGGAGTGCATCCTCACCGGACCTATCGCCTTCAACCGCTTTCTCCTCAAACCCGACGATCGGCCTTTTGGCACCCGCCAACACGAACGCTTCCTTCTTACAGGGCAGCTCCGCATTAGACACATTGTCCAAATCACCAACTATGATGTCGGCCCCGTCTCTGCAAAAGAGTTTTGCTCCCAAGTCCCGGAGGAGTTCCACGAAGACGCAACACGCATCCTCTCAGACCTTATCAAGGCCATCAAACCCCCCTGGTGGGCCACCCTCCGAACCCCACATGCCTCTTATGCCTCTCCAGGTGAATGGTTCATGCTTTCGGACGACCATTATTCCATCTCTCATCTCGCCCTCCAAGTTGTCGCCTACATTCCCCCCGCCTCCGTCTCGGCTATTGTCCACCTCGTCTCGCCAAACCATCGCATCGCCCGCACCCTAGCAGACACCGGACTCTTCCGTTTACAAGACCTCATAGAGGTGCACGTCAGGGATTGGTGGCTCGCAGGGCCACTTCACACAAGGGCTGGGTTAGGAGCTAGGGTAGAACTTCTACAGGACGGCATCCCCCAGTATCGCCGACATCCGCCGTCTCCTCTACTCAGCACAACCGCTAACTCATCACAACCGATGGACCCGCGATCTCACCCTTCCTCCTCCTCCTCTCCCTGACCTTAACGACTCATTTCTCAAGGACCAGCCGAGTCGCCAGCGGGACATCCTTTTTAGACTCTACATGCTCACCCTTCCCTCTGGATCACGCTTCCAGTACTTTGACGATCGAGGCGTCTGCCCTCGGTGCCCAGCTGCCGTCGTCGAGACACTGCCGCATATATTCTTTGAATGCTCCTCCGCCGGAAATGTCATCTCGGCTCTCTGCACAGTCGCTGACCGCCACCTTGGACAAACCACCACCGCCGAGCACATCCTCTTCCCGATACAGTCACGGGTGGGACAGTCCCCCCCATGGAGCCTACTAGTGGGAGCTGCAGTTAAGACGCTGTGGAATGCTCGCTGCGACCACAAGTACCGCAACTCCTCCTCCTCGAGCTTCGAGATACTGCAGCTGGTACTAGCCCAATTCCTCATCGCCTTCAAAATTTACATTTGGAGAAGCAGACGCCAATCTACCAAGAAGCGACAACACATATCCTCCAGCATTAAGCGCGCACAGAAACTCCGCTTCCTCCTTTCGATAGGAGCGGTACACCCTCAATTCACTCCGACCTCAGAGTCTCATGGCTTCTAGGAAACTCGTTCCGACCCCTGTAGAGGGCTACCTACATAGAGCGTCTCCCCAGTCTGCTGGCGTCTCCCTCCCATCCCCCCGTCTCCTCTCCCTCCCGCCCCGCCGTCTCCTCTCCCTCCCGTCCCGCCGTCGCCTCTCCCTCCCGTCCCGCCGTCGCCTCTCCCTCCCGTCCCGCCGTCGCGTCTCCCTCCCGACCCGTCGTCGCCTCTCCCTCCCATCCCCCCGTCGCCTCTCCCTCTCCCATCCCGCCGTCGCCCTTCCCTCCAACTTCGCCGTCGCCTCTGGCAACAGGTCACGGAGCGAGCTGGTGCGCGAGCGCGAGTCTCTGAGGCATCGTGATTTGCATGTGTGTTTAGCTTTTCCCGTCCTTTTTTTCTTCCTCCCTTCTCTGAAATTTCTCACAATTTCGTAGGCTCTCTGTTTGTCGATTGATCTCCTCTTGCATTGCGATACCATTTGAAGAGGGAGAGAAAGGGGGCGCGAATGAGAGCGTTCGCACGCGAGCGAGCACGCTGACGCCTATCGCACTGGCGCCTAACGCGTTGGCGCTTAGCGCTCTGGCGACAAGCGCGCTGGTGCCTAGCGCGCCGGCGCATATCGCGCTGACGCCTTGCGCGCCGGTGCCTGTCGCGCTGGCGCCTAGCGCACTGGCTCTTAACGCGCTGGCGCCCGGCGCGCTGGCGCCTAGCGCTTTGGCGCCTATCGCGCTGGCGCCTAGCGCGCTGAAGCTTAACGCGCTGGCGCCTAACGCGCTGAGAGAGCACGAGAGAAAGAGAGCGCGTGAGGGTGCGCGCGTGCGAGAGCGCGTGACGGAGCGCGTGAGAGAGCGCGTGAGAGAGCGCGTGAGAGAGCGCGTGAGAGAGCGCGTGAGAGAGCGCGTGAGGGAGCGCGTGAGAGAGCGCGTGAGAGAGCGCGTGAGAGAGCGCGTGAGGGTGCGGGTGAGAGTGCGCGTGATAGTGCGAGTGAGAGTGCGCGTGAGAGAGCACGTGAGAGTGCGTGCGTGAGAGTGCGCACGTGAGAGTGCACGCGTGCGAGAGCACGTGAGAGAGCGCGTGAGAGTGCACGTGAGAGTGCGCGCATGACAGAGCGCGTGAGAAAGCGTGTGTGAGTGCGCGTGAGAGTGCGTGTGAGAGTGCGCGTGAGAGTGCGCGCGAGAGGGCGCGCGAGGGCGCGCGAGAGAGGGCACGAGAGAGCGCGTCAGAGTGCGCGTGCGAGAGTGCCTGAGAGAGCGCGTGGTAGCGCGCGTGAGAGTGCGCATGAGAGTGCGCGCGAGAGGGTGCAAGAGGGAGCGCGAGAGTGCGCGAGAGTGCGCGCGAGAGAGCGCGCCAGAGTGCGCGTGCGAGAGTGCCTAAGAGAGCGCGTGAGAGAGCGCGTGAGAGAGCGCGTGAGAGAGCGCGTGAGAGTGCGCGTGAGAGTGCGCGTGAGAGAACGTGTGAGTGTGCGTGAGAGTGTATGTGAGAGGGCGCATGAGAATGCACGTGAGAGAGTGCGTGAGAGAGCGTGTGAGAGTGCATGTGAGAGTACACGTGAGAGAGCGCATAAGAGAGCGCGTGAGAGTGCTTGTGAGAGTGCGCGTGAGAGTGCGCATGAGTGGGCTAGAGAGTGCGCATGAGAGAGCGCGTGAGAGAGCGCGTGAGAGAGCGCGTGCGTGGGTGTGCGTGAGAGAGCTCGTGAGAGCATGCGTGAGAGAGTGCGTAAGTGCGTGCATGAGAGTGTGCGTGAGAGTGCGTGAGAGTGTGCGTGAGAGTGCGCGTGAGCGCGTGAGAGAGCTGGTGAGAGTGCTTGTGAGAGTGCGCGTGAGAGTGCGTGTGAGTGGGTGTGAGAGTGCGCGTGAGAGAGCGCGTGAGAGAGCGCGTGAGAGTGCGCGTGAGAGACATGTGAGGGAGTGCGTGAGAGTGCGCGTGAGAGTGCGCGTGAGAAAGCGTCTAGGTTTGTATGTTTGTTTTTGTGAGTATTTGTGTGTGTGTGTGGGTGCAAGATTGAGTACAAGAGTGGGTGCGAACTCGAGTGCGAAGTTGAACTCGAGGGTGGCTGCAATATATTGCATCATGCTGGCGTAGTATTTGTGGTGCCAGAATACCAATTTATCTTTGTGAGTTGCCAAATTTCCATTGCTTGTCTTTGATCTATGCGTTCTTCAGCAATTTTTTTCTATTGCTCTTATTTCGTTTCTTGTGCAAGGCGGTGTTTTGCATTCTCTTTTTGCTTTGTGCAGGGCGTGTAAGCTGTTTTTTTTTTTTTTTTTTTTTTTTGTTTGGCGGAGAAAGGATATGAGGGAGGGGTTGGGAGGGAGATGAGGGAGGGAGGGAAGGAGGGGTGTAGGGAGGGTAGAGGGGGGATAGGCTAGCAATTTATCCATGAATGGTTGCGTGTTTATTATCTGTATGTATCTGTGCTTGTTTGCGTGTGTGCCAGTGTGTGCATGTGTGTCATTGTGCATGTGTGTTTGTGTGCCATCGCTTGTATCATTTGTGTCGTTTCGGGGTGTGATGTTAAAGTGTGTCGGTTCTGCAATCGAGATGGGGATCGTTGTTGGGGCAGCGTTGCTCGCCTTAGCATACCAGAACCATCTATTTTGTAGCACCGATGCATTTTAGCATTCACTCATAGTACGTGTTGTCATTCACTCTATCAGTGTTGATATGTGTCATCGTTTCTCGTTTGTCGTTTGTGTAATTTCGTTGTGTGATGTTAGATTGCGTCAGTTTGCAATTGAGATAGGGATCGTTGTTGGGGCAGCGTTGCTTGCCTTAGCATACCGGAACCATCTCTTTTGTAGCACCGGTGCATTTTAGCATTCACTTCACTCATAGTATGTGTTACTTTTCCACCTGTTGGATTGGGTTGGGTGTCGAATGTGACAGCTAGTTGTTCCATTCGCCGTATTTATCGACGATTATGGAATGATAGGTCACATTTGATTTCACTTGTTTTGGAGACTCTTATGTATCAGTGCCGTCATCTCCACGGCTTTGGAGCACTTTTAAAAAAATGGAAAACGTTAAAAGGAGTGCTTCAAGCGTTGGGAAAAGACGAAAACTGCACTGATCATTCGAGTCGACCGAAAAAGTGCTACCAAACGTAAACGGGTTGCTACGCAACCAAAAAAAAAAAAAGTTGTGACGGCTGGAGAAACCAATACTGTAACTTTGCCTCCAGATGAGTATGCACTTCTGTTTTGTACAAGCCATTTCAACCATCCGAATGCAATTGAGGAACTGCATTTTGAAAACCATCATCGTCATGACAATCCTGCTGAAACAACAAAAGAACCAATAGGAGGAAGGAGACGATGCCCACGCATTCTACTCCAACAAGGGCTGAAGGGCTACCAAATACTTCGGGCCATTTTCAGGTGCAATCTCCATAGTACAGAAAATGTATTCAGGTGGGAGCCCGTCGCATCTTTCCAAGTTTCTGTTGCGCATTGTACACACTTGCCGGAATAGAGCCTTGCGCCACTCAAATCTGTACTCGCTGAGGGAAATTAATGCGCTCACACACGCAGGAATTGCTAAGACATACCCCGAGAAAAAAAAAACTAAAAGCTTTAGTGACGCTGGACGCATTTTTGGGAGATCAACCCTAAGCACGGGAACTTCCTGGTGTTTAGGGTTGATGCCTCCTCAGGGTTTTCGTTAAAAAAAAAAAAAAAAAAAACACACACACACACACACACACCAATCGGAACGAAATCAAATCGGGAAGCATTAACCCTAAACACCATATGGGTTCCCGTGTTTAGGGTTGATCCCTCCCAAAAACGGTTCCAGGTTCTCTAGGGGTTTTATTTTGTTTTTCCGCGTGGCCCTAACAGCTTCGGTAGTTTGGCCTAGCCATGTTGTCTGTTTGATTTCGGTCAGAATATGTCAGAGACAATAAAATCCGTCAGCTCAACAAGATGTGAGGGGCGATTCCGCACCAGGCTCTGTTGTAGCACGTGTGTACAGTGCCGCAACAGATTGGGCTCCCGCCTGAACACATTTCCTATACTATAGAGATTACACCTGAAAATGGCCCAAATACTTCGGAAATAGGTGATAATGTTTTGGTGGATAGCACAGTCGTTATCCACTCGCCTACACCACTCACCACGTAAAGCTTTCATGGTTCCAAAAAAAAGAGCAGCAAATATGACGTGTAGACACACTCCTCACGCTCTTCTCTGACAAGGGTTCATCGTCAGCAGCGAAGACGTCTGCAGAGCATCGACAAGCGGTGCTTCGTAATTCAGTTGACAAGTCTACAAGTAATGAACTGAAGTAACTAAAGGCTGTAAAGATTCTGGTCGAATAATTTTTGTTTCTATTTTTCCTACTCGTGTGTGTGTGTGTGTGTGTGTGTGTGTGTGTGTGTTTTTTTTTGTTTCCACTGTGCTTTGATTGTGTAAACCATTATGGAAAGTAGAGATTAAACCTTTCCGACGCGTACCTGCTCATATGTTTAGGTTACGTGAGCTGCACGCAATGGTTCGCCGAAGTCGGCGGACTTAATCTCTTGTTACGCTCTCCAGATTCGCTCGATTTCCATCAATATTCAGCTGCACCACACCAGGAAGAACATCTTCAAGATCTCTCATGCGTCTCAATCCATACTCCTTGAGCTGAGTTGACTTTCCCACAAGAACAGCGAAGGCCTGGTGGAATTTCTCAATGCAGAGAGTACCATGAGCAGCAAGCATAATCATCACCTGATACTTCAAGAGACTTAAAGTGAAAGTCTTGTATGAAAATTGCTGCTGAGCACGCTTCTTGACACCAGTCCACGAAATCTTTGATTTAGAGTTACTCGCTGGGGTGAATTCACGCAACGCATCCACAGGTATTGTTTTGTTCTCCACGACTTGTTGCTTCTCAACCACGGCTGCCGATGTGAGCTTTGATGTGGATGGGACTGAAGGGTATGCGGACTCAAATGGTGTGTTCGGCACTCTCCGATCCTAGTCATGAATGTCATGTCCTGAATTAAGAAAAGAAAGTGATAGCGATTGCGGTTTTGACGCGCAAGACCATGGTCCCGGTATTCTGGTACTTATGATAGCTTTGACACCCGATGCAAGGAGACTAGATATAAGAGGAGCGAAGCCAGCGTCACCAGTGATAAGTACCACGCATAAATGAGACAACCTGAGATAAAACGCATTGTCAGTGCACCCCTTTGTAAGAGAGGTTAAGAAAGAACATACCTAGATCTTGACTGCTTTCTTGTAAGACTTTCTGGCTCGTTAGCTTGCGATTTGCTAGGTCGAATTTCAAAAGCGATACACATTATGTCCAGGATTATGGCATTGTCAGACGAAACGTTGACAACTCGTATGCACATGAGCCAATAACTTCCTGTTTCCCATGAGCCGTAAACAAAATGATATTTCTGTATATCTCGTCAAGATATCTTAGTCGACGAACAGCGAATCATGTGGTGCATTTGCTTGGAACGCCACAATTTTCAATGTCCCAATTGAGGGGTGATGTTGTCCAGATCGATCATGCAGACCCCTTCATCCTGCTCAAGACACGAATCCATCAATCTGCTTCGTTTTCTACCAGGAGACATGGACTATCACGTTTCCGTCACACTGCTGTAGGGCAATAGCAAAAACCCTTTCCTGGAAACTCCAACCGTGGTATATTTTCACAAAAATTAGGCCTTGTGCTATCCTCACAAATTATGGTGAGGTATCTATCAGTTGGACGAGCATAGTTACGGTGTCGAGTATGGCGATGTATGTCTGATGATGGTGGTGAATCTGGCTGAATGATCGAAGCATTGAATTTGAGGTCAGATGACCCAAACCGCGTACCGAAATTGTGGTGGAAACTCGGAAGCGCTGTACAGAAGCCTTTTCGTGGTAAGAGACCTAGCAATTTGATCCGCGGCCACCAGAGCGTAAATATGTTTTGAGCGAATGAGCTGTGGGCTCAAACTGAAAACAGTTGATGTTCAACTATCCATATGACATCGGACTGTCTGAAGACTCTCATTGCGATGTACATGTTAGAAGAAC